CGCTGTTTTTAACGTTACCTGTTACCTGACAGCGCTGTTTGCCAAAGAGGAGGCGGATCCGAGCCGCGTCCAGAAGAAGAGAGGCGGAACCGGAGCCGCTCAAAGCGTTGGTAGCGGGACCGAAACCCGGAGCGCGCTGAGGTGGCACTGCACACGTGACCCTAATGATTGACAGGTGTCAACAACACTCGTCCAGCACGCGCAGATCACGGCTGTGGAGGATGCGATTTACTCAGAAACCTGGCTGTTTATGCAGCACCTCCCTCCCTCTCTCTGTGTGTGTGTGTGTGTCCAGTAGCTTAGCAACGCCTCCGCTAGCCGCGGAGCTAATGTATGCTAACCGAGAGCAACGCCGCGCGGATGAAAACAGACGCTCGGAGCCCGGGTTTAACGCGCCGCGAGCGCGCGCCTGGTGTTTTTGTTCGCGTTCGCAGACGCATCGCGCGCGCAGCCGCGTTCGCGGAGAACAGAAGGCGTTTATCAGGAGAGCGACGGAGGGAACGTCTTACCTGCACGAGCGGCGGGAATCCGCGGCGCGAACACACGCGGCGAACACTCTTTTATTGGACTTTTGTGCGATCGCTTCTGCGCCAACGACTGTCTTTTCTTCCAGCCGGCTCACGCGTCACTTCCGCTCGGCGAGCGCGCGCCCCTGTCACTTCCGCCCGGGTCTATATCCGCGAGCACGCGCGGCAGTTCATTAAAAGACAATTATTTCTCGCATCCGAATAGGGCATACTAGATTAAATTACTCTCTGTTTAATATAGGAAAACATGAATACATTAAAGAAATAGGATTAATCAGGAGAATTTAGGAATGTGTGTTTTTTTTATTTTTTATTATATAAAATATAGATAAATATAAATATGTATATATTAGTTGCTTATTAGTGCTCCACACTCCAGTCCAGTTGGTGGCGGTAAATGCACCAGAAGTTGGTTTGCCATCCGCCAATAAACGTTATTAGAAGAAGAAGAAGTTCATTAAAAGTTAAGCGCTGACCATCACGTGCACGCGCAAACGGAAGTGAATGAACGCGCAGAATATGACTGTCATTTATGTTGAGCAACATTGCTACTGTACTCACCAATCTCTACTAACACCTGTGAAATATTGCTACTGTGCTCACCAATCTCTACTAACACCTGTGAAATATTGCTACTGTGCTCACCAATCTCTACTAACACCTGTGAAATATTGCTACTGTGCTCACCAATCTCTACTAACACCTGTGAAATATTGCTACTGTGCTCACCAATCTCTACTAACACCTGTGAAATATTGCTACTGTGCTCACCAATCTCTACTAACACCTGTGAAATATTGCTACTGTGCTCACCAATCTCTACTAACACCTGTGAAATATTGTTACTGTGCTCACCAATCTCTACTAACACCTGTGAAATATTGTTACTGTGCTCACCAATCTCTACTAACACCTGTGAAATATTGTTCTTATTCTGCTGGATCTATCTGCTGCTTTTGACACTGACAATCATCAGATCCTCCTGTCTGCCCTCTCTTCACTGGGCATAACAGGGATTCCTCTTCGCTGGTTTGAATCCTATCTCACTGGTAGGTCTTTCAGGGTGGCTTGGGGAGGGGAGGTATCCAAAGCACATCAACAGAAACCGTGTATAAATAAAGCTCTTTCTGACGTCTGCTCAAGCACGCAGACGCAAGCATTAACACTGCACACAAACAACCGCTTCACTTTGAGACGGTTCCTCAAACAAAGCATCATATGACCTCAGAAGCTACAAAACACAGCTTTGACTTTTCAGCTAGTAAAATGATGGCTGGATTATATATATTTTCTCCATAACCAACACACTGAATGACTGTTTAAAGCAAACCATAGGATCCAATCAATCAGCATCAAGCCCGAGAGTGAGCAGCTTCCTCTAGAGGGCCACACACAAGTTATTAAACGGGAAATATTTTGTTCATATCATATCTAGAATATGAAATAGCAGTTAGGAATTGACAAGGCTGGGTGATGAAGACACTGATGTGTGAAGCTCGAAGAACAGCTGATAGGGGTTTTTACATTTGTGTGGAACACATTTAAACATATATTTCAATGGAAAGGAAGAAAAACATTTATATATGTAGATTTATTGATACATCCGAGAAGTTCCACATCCATAAAATGAAACGAATGTTTGGCTTCTGTTTTCAAAGAGTTGATTTAAGCAAAAGAGTTTTGTGTGTGTAAATGCAATATAATGTCATTATAAATGTAGATATTTATAGATATTATTTTGCAACTAAGTATCATCACGTGGTTCACTGCACACTAGTGATGGCCGCTGCTGAATCACTGCTTCGTGAAGCTTCGAATCACGTGCTCTCCGTAAACGAGGCTTCGTTACGTCATAACTGTTTCGAAACGTTTGGAAATGTCAATAGTTTGAAAAAAAAAAAAAAGTCAATAGTTTGAAAAAAAAAAAAAGTCACGTGATTTCAGTAAACGAGGCTTCGTTAAGTCACAACTGTTTCGAAACTTTTCGAAATTTCAATAGTTTGGCTTTGGGGTCGATCTCTGTGAATCCATGGATCATGCGAGTTCATTGAGCTCGCCTCCCAGCGGCGAACCATTGATCGTCTCTGATCTCGGATCAGTTTTATCAATTTGTAGACATTTTTAACGAGACATTTGTGTAATTAAAAGGATGAGTTGTAGTCTCTCACTGGCCTGTTTAAGCTCTCCATAAAACAAACAAAACAAGCCCTGCAAACAAACAAAACAAGCCCTGCAAATTAATAATTATTATTTAAAAAACACGTTATACAGACACTTCATATTTAATGGTATTTCATTATTTTTATTGCATTTAATGTATTATACTTTCAAGAACGCATTTGCATTGGGTTTATAAAAAGCAGTTTTTTTGTTGTTGTTGTTGCATTTCCACAGTTTGACCAGCAGGCGTCACCAGCGTGTGGTGTTCCGAGCGCTTCGAAACACTGAATCATTTTGCGAAGCAATTGGTTCAATTGAATCGAAGCTTTGAAAAGGTTCGGTTCTCCCAGCACTACTCACAGTCTCGCGATAGCGACACAGAGCGGAAACGGAAGTTAGTCTTTGTTAAAGATGGCAACCCCCTATGTGACAGAGGAATCTGGTAAAGCATTTCACACACAAACACATTTCTGCGTAGATTGTCATATAATCGCGGTGTGTGTGAGTGATAAAGCGTGGCGTCGCGACACACATGAAGATCCAATCTGCTTCTGGATTCCATTCCTTCTGAATGCTGCTTATTTCTATATATATATATATATATATATATATGTGTGTGTGTGTTTCATTTAGTCGAGCTCGTTTTATCTGCTGACACACACATTGCATAGCCTAATAATAATAATAATAATAATAATAATAATGCAGATAATAACAACAAAACATGACCGCGATGATTAGTATTGAGTGTAGTGGAGGGTTAACAGAGATAATATAATAATAATTATGGTAACACTTTACTTAAAGTCTTCATGTAAACTGCATTGTAAAGGGTTATTAAAAGGTGTAATGCATTATAATTATTGATCATGTGCGTTGTGATACATTATATCTTGTCATAATTAACAGATTTTAAAATGCATAGTGTAGCAATGAATTAAGTGTTATAATGAATTAACTGCGGTTAGAATTATTCATGAGATTCTACAGTGCATTATGATGTGCATTACAAGCATTAATGCATTAAAACATTGCATTGAATAATTAGCCATCTTCAAGAATCAGCTGAAACACATCTCTTCCATCTTTATTTGACCCTCTAACTCTAACTCTCTCTATTCTAATTCTATTCTTTAAAAAAAGACTTGCACTCTATTCATTTATTAACTGCTTGTTTTCTTTTTATTTATTATATAATTTTAAATAAACCTTGCTAGGTGTGCTGTGTTAAGCTAACAGACTTGTTATAGCACGTGTGTATCACTGCTGTTTTGTTAGTTTTGATTGCTTCTTCATCTGTAAGTCACTTTGGAATAAAGCATCTGCTAAATGACTAAATGTGAATGTAAAAATACTTTTCATAACACAGTCTTCCTTTGATATGTCTGTCTGCATATTACAGTAACTGATGTTATAATGAAACGATCAAAAACAAACAAACACAGCCTTGATGGTGCTCTCTTGACTGTGTGATGGAGACGAGTAGAAGTCAATGCCCCTGTATGAGTTTGTGTCTTATATTACTACATGATATAATATCACATGCTGTTTAGAATATCAGCGCGATCACAGATCAG